GAGGTCCCTTCCAACCCTAGCATCTATGAATCTATGAATCTGTTGAGGTCCCTTCTAACCCTAGCATCTATGACTAATAAAAGCCTTGCTGTATAATCCATCCAACTTTAGCTGCGCAAGCCAGGCTCAAACCCTTATCCATGAATATGCACTACACGTATGAGCTTCAGAACACATGCTAACCCTAACGGGACTGGAGAACGAGAAGCAGAACCCCAGTTTCATACACACATGTACTATCTATAGCAGGGGTCAGCAACCCCTGGCAGGCGTGCCGAGCATGGCACACAAGGCCGTTTTGCTCGGCACACCACTGCCAGCCCTGGCTCTAAGCAGCTGCTGCCAGCCACGGAGCCCAGGCTGCTCCCAGGAGGCTACTGGGAGGCTGCAAGCAGACTGGGCTCCGTGGGCCGGCTGCAGCCGGGAGGCTGCAAACCTTCCAAGGTAGACATTGTGGTTTTTTCAGCGCTCCAGCCAAAAAACATTGCCTACCCTGATCTATATTATACTTTAAATAGAGTGTTACGTATGTAGCTTAAAATATGTTTAAGCTGAAATATTATAGAATATAATAGACATAATAATATATATAATATATTATATAATAGAATGCTCCCTGCATTCTAATAGGGAGCGAGATTCCTCCTCCTCACAAGTGATAGGCAGGGATTTCTACTCCGTTTAACAGTGATTTTGTAATCATCATCTTATACAGACTTATGTTATACGTTACCTTTTTCCGCTCTTTCTCCAGAGCTCTCCACTGCTCATAACACTCTTCCAATCGCGTGTGAAGCTCATTAGCAGGCCCACTTCGATTTCGTGGAGGTCTATACTTGTTAAAAGGTGTTGGAAAGGCGAAGTATGGTGCAGCTATTTCCCCACACAAAAGATCATTAATGAAGGGATTCAAGTGGTTAAAATCATCATAGTGAAAGAGGTCAACAAGTTCCGAAAATGGAAATGGTGAAGGAGGAAACGCAAAATTATTTGCTGATGAAAACGGGTGGGTATTAAATGGAGGAAAGCTGGGATTTTGCTTAAAATCAGACATTAATGGGAAAGAGGGAAGAAAAGAAGGATTGATGAAATCCGACATGTTGCCACCGTTCTGCTCTTGTCTCTTTCGGAGCACGTTGAAGTGCTGACGATTTGCAGTTGCGTATCCAGGGTGGGGAATCCAATTTTTCCTACCACCTCTTTTATCATCTTTGTTACTGTCTTGACATTGCTTTTTTTGAAATCGATGATACCTTTCCGACTCTTCACTTCTAGAGTTCTGTGGTGTTAACCAGTTGGATGAAAAGTTAATGGGTAATTTGCGATACTGCCCCTCCTTGCTAGCCAATGAATCATGCTGGGAATGCCCAATAGGCTTAATTTGCTTCTGATTTTCTGCAACAAAGTTAGAAATCCCCATATTACTAGAAATACCATTTGATACTTGTAACCTTCCATCTTTCCGTGCAGAAAGTACTGGTGACACTTGAGAGTAGTAAGAGGCCTGGGTTACAGACTGGTGTGTGGGGGATCCACTGGACATAGTTGAAACCCCTGAAGAGGACTGTGGGCTTGTTACTACTTGGTTTTGCTTACCATATGCAAGATCAGATGCAGTTGTGGGACTTAAGATTTTACCATCTAGCCATGCATGCCCATGGTAAGATGAATAATTTCCATTTTGTTGAACAGTTTTTACAGACAAATCATATTCAGGGGGTTTATGAGAACATTCTTGAGGATTCAGCTGGATCTTACATTCGTTGTTATTCAAGGTTTCCCCCAAATTGAAACAATTATGGCCATTTTGCATACGGGCTCCCTGTGATTTTTTGTTTGCTACTCCAACAAAGCTATTTTCCTTAGTAGATGAGGACTGATTGAAAAAACATTGTGATGAGTGAATAGGTGGCTGAGATTTATGAGAAGCTGTAAAGTCTTCATATCTTTTAGGAAACCTGTGGTTATCCTGGGACACTTTGTCCCACGTGCCATCAACAGGGGGACTGGATAAATTAGGCGAGTACTTGGTTTGCTCGTGGGTGTCATTTTTCATCAGTTTCCCTCTTGCTCGGTCAGTTTTCCAATACTCTTTCTGAATGCTAGCGACATCTTTGATTCTGTTTTGAGAAGAATAAGTGCTAAAATCGGAGCAATTCTTTTCATAGTTCCCGTTTAATTTCATCTTGTCGTAATTGCACACATGTTGATTAAACTCTAAATTTTGCAATGTAAACTGTTCTTGCTGAATGATGGCATTATTTTGAAAAGCAGAATTTTCTGGATAAATGTTCAAGATATTGTCAGGTGGCAGAGTGGAAGGGTCTGGAGGAGCAAGCCAAGACTCTATAAGATGAAGGTCCTCAAACCCCCTGTGTAAAGTTTCCAGATCAGGTGACTTTTGCAAGTGTTCTTGATAGTAGTTTGGTGCACCAATCAGGTTTGGAAAATCCTTACTTTCTAAAGAGTGTTTGGAAGAAAGCCCTGAGAAGTCACCGTTGTTTCCAAGGTCAGATGCCCACATGGGTGGAAACAGTCTTGAAAGAGAATTCCTGTAACAAATTAAATGGCACTTTTAGGAGTAATCGAACAAATCTGTTATCATTTCATACTCCAGCATTTTTTCCTAAAAAAATTCCTTCTGAAGATACTGTTTGAAGAACTAGTAAGACGTCAGATTCTAGATAGGTCATGCTGGCCTAAAATGATTCCCTGAAGTCCGTTTTGTTTTAATCGTTTAAAATGTGTCAAATTATGGTGCTTTAAATGCTTCTATTTGCACCTCATCATTTTCAAAGACTTCATTATTTTTTCCACCATTTTTCTAATGACATTTGAGCTTATACAGCACTTTTCATCCAAGAAATCCAAGAACGCGCTAAAGAAATTAAGTCTAACATCTCTACAATATTCATGCCACCTTCTTCAGTAATGTTTATTGCTTGAAATGAGCACTATTATAGGATGAGAAAATGTTTCCCCCCCCCACCTCAACAACATATATTATCCTGTTGGATTCCTTAAAATGTTTGTAAGCCAGACAGTGATTTTATTTCTGTTAAGAGCTGAAAGTTTGTCCAGAACTGACAGAACAAGGAGCAATGGGCTCCAGCTGCAGCAAGGTAAGTCGAGGTTGGATATTAGGCCACGTGACAGGCAGCTAGGGGGCAGATAAATACTAATTTTCTAAATTTTTTAGGGGCCCCGTGGGCCGAATAGAACGGCCTGGCGGGCCGCATCTGGCCCCCCGGGCCACATTTTGCCCACCCCTGTTAGAAGCGAACATCTCATCCAAAAGGATT